CCCCCCGCCAGGACAGACCAGCCAGAGCCCCCCCGGATGCTCCCCAGGGCGAAGCGCCGGGCTGTGGGAGGATGCACAGATGGTCCAAGCGGCTAGGAGCCACTTGGCGCTGGCTCTGAGAGGCTCTCGGGGGGCAGGCGCTGGGGCAGGGCCGACACGGGCTGAGAGGCTGGGCCGGCGCGAAGGGGGTGCTCTGATGCTGATGCTCCGTGCCCCCGCTGCCCGTGGTTGGGGCTGATCCCCCCACCCGAGCTCTGTGCCGCTGGTGACTGGGGCTTGGACTGAGTGTCCGAGCTCCATGCCCCCTGCGACTGCCCCCACCCCAAGCGCTGCACCCCCAGAGCCTGGGGCTGACTCCCCTGAAGATCTGACCCCACCAGTGTACCTCTGCGCCCCCCAGGGCGAGCGCCCGACTGTTTGGTGGAGCGGGCAGTTCTGTGTGCTCCTGCCAGCTGATCCGCTGGGAAGAGCAAACGGGACCAATGCCCAATTTTCTCTCAATTTTTCTCAAAAAAGTCGGGACAGTTGGGACAGAGCTTAAAAGCGGGATGTCTGCCCCCCTGCCAGGGAGGGGAGGGGCTGCGCAAAGGGGCACCCGCTCTGCGAGACAAGGAGAGAGCGGGTCACACCCCTGGCTAGCAAGGCCCACAACAGCCCTCCAGGCGGGGGGCCCCGGGACTGGCCCCGGTTTGCTCCGCGAGGCTTGGCCGGGCTGGCCACCCCAGACAGCCTGTTCCCGGAGCTGGCACCTGGAGACCAGGCAGGTGGGAGCTCCCCACCCCAGGACAGCCCGCGCCCCCCGGAGACGCGGAGAGCCCCGTGCCCACCCCACTTACAGAACCTCCAGGCCCCGCAGCGCGCGGAAGGCCCCGTCCTCGATACAGCCGATCTGGTTCTTGTCCAGCTGCCTGCACAACAAAAGGGGAACCAGTTTTGCTGAATAGACTCTGGGCCCCAGGACAGTCTGCGGGCCGGGCCGGCACCCTGAGCTGGGCAGAGGAATGTCAGGGCCCAGGGGGCTGCGGGTCAGGAGTGAGGGGCGCCGGCTGAGCTTGGGGGGAGCCCAGGGCCAGGACAGCAGGGGTTGCAGGTCGTGAGTGAGGGGCACTACAATTATTATTTGTTATTTAGAGTGCCCCGAATGTCCCGGGCAGTCTCCAAACACAGGGTAAGCGCCAGGCCCTGTCTGGCAGAGCGACCGCTGGGGACCTGGCACTGCAGGGGGTGGCCCTTGGCAGAGCTGTGTGGGGAAGCTTACGCAGTATCTGCCCCCACGGGGCCCCCTCCTGGCCTAAACTAAGCAGATATCGCTCCAGGTGTGCCCCAGGGCAGGGCTGGGCCCCTGGGTAGCACCATGCCTCCTGGCTGTGAGCCCGGGATCTTTGCCCAGGGGCCGCCCCCCTGCCATGGAGACGTGGCTCTCCCGGGCTGAGCCCCCCCATTGCCACGCTCGGTGGATCATCCAAGGGCCGTGCAGTGCAGGGCAGCGTCCATCCGTCTGCATCCCTGGGGAGCAGCAGAGCACGGGACGCCCCAGGGACTCCAGTGCAACAAGTCTGTGCCCGTAACCGCCCCCGCTCCTCACTGCTGTCTGCATCCCGAGACCCGTCCTTCCCCAGCTGGACTCCCCATGCCCCAGCGCGCGGGATCCTGGAGCAAAGCACCGGGGAGCCCCTGGCACAGCTCCGGGGCCCATCCCAGAGGGGAAGGGGAGCCAGGCTGGAGGAGCGGCTGGACCACGGCGACTCACAGGTTCTTCAGGTCGGTGGCTCCGCGGAAGGCTTTCCTCGGCACGGCCTGGAGGAGGTTCTCGCTCAGGTCCCTGGGGAAACAAAACGTGGGCGGCGAAATCAGCGAAGCCCCAAAAGCGACGTCCCCTCCCTGAGAGCAGGGCAGGCGCCGGGGGAACCGGGACGTGTCGGGTCAGCTCAGTGCCCCCGGCTGCTATCGCCAGGCCAGGGGGCAGGGACAGCACCCCCCAGTGGGCAGCACGCAGCATTAGCGATCAGTGTGATAGCCGGGGCCCGGCACAGCCCCGAGTATCACCTCCTGCTTTAGGGGGTCGGACTGACGCAGGGGCTCTCCCAGGACTCTCCGGGCCGGGCTACGCTGCAGTGAGGTCGGGCAGAATTCGTCCCTCTATCTGGCTCCCGTCTCTTGCGCTACGTCTACACTGCAGCGCTCCAGGGTGGGCTCCACCTACGCTGACGGGGGGTCGCTGCAGGTGACCCACCTGCCCGAGCGGCGGCAGCTGGGGCAAGGGAAGAACTCTGTCCACCAAGCGCTGTCTGCATCGGGGGGATGTCTCAGAGAGACGGATTCACCCCGGCGATGGGAGAACCCCCCCACGGCTGGAAGGGTCTGCACTGCCGTGCTCCAGCTGCGCTGCGGCAGCGTTTCCAGTGTAGACGCGGCCTGCGCCTCTGCCGGGTGGGAAGAGCAGGGCACCCAGCAGGCACTGGCGTGGGACACTCCTCGGCTCTGACATACTCTGGACTCGCAGTAATTGCAGCTGGTTCAGTGGTAATTACTAAGTCACTGCCCGGAGCCTGCCCTGCAGTCTAGAGGGTGCACATGGAATCGGGTCTTTATTTACTTTGCCACCGCCCGGCACCTTTCACGTAATTACCCACCCCCGGCTGCCAGTGGTGAGCAGAGCCCGCGTGGCCGGTCGCTGCACCATGCACTGCGGGGTTAGAATCAGACTCAAGCCTGATTGGCAAGGCCTCTCCGGCCCTCGCTTTCCCAGCATCGCCTGGGGCTGGCTGCCGGGGCCGAAGGCTGGGCCAATGATCAAAAGTCACATCACAAAATGCTCTGTCGGCACCAAGTCAGGCTTGCAGACTATCCCCAACCACACCTCCAGCCTGCAGAAGGCAGCAGAGTGCTGCCCATGGCTGGGTTCCTTATGCTGTGTACTATCTGGTACCACAGCAGCACCACCATTGACCAAGCTTTAGGGGGCTGTAGAGCTCCTACACTCTCTGGTGTCAAGTGTGCCAGACACTCCTCCCTACTCTGGAGAGACCTGGGTTTCTGTGCTCTGCCCTGTGCCAGCTGCCGCACCCGCTGTCCTACCACAAAGCGCAAATCATCAATGGTGACCACCCCTGCAGGCCGCAGCACAAGCACAGACCTGACGGGAGAGCTCTCAGCCGAGTCTCTGCAGACACCTTCCCACCGGGCCCCACCGCTGGGCCGTCTCTGAGCTACACCACTGGCACTGCATGCACACGTCGAACTCAGCCACTGCCGCTCAGGCCCTACTGCGTGGGGGGGGGGGGGGCCCGCCCCCCCGCCGAGCGCCGGGGGGAAGGGGCCCCCCGCGGCAACAGGGCCCAGGCCCATTGCAATCAATGGAGAGACCCCCGGGCAGCAAAGCCTATTCAGGGCTCAGTGCAGACACCAGCGAATGGCCCCTGGGCAGGGGCACCAGGAACACGTGGACAGAGCCATGGGCAACCCTGGGCAGTGCCAGCACAAGTTGGCCAAGAGCCATCCCGTGAGATGGGATCCGGATTCCAGAGCACACGGACACCACCCGGGTCACGCTAATCGGAACTGAATTCTCCAAGGCTTGGCTCTGAACCACAGATCTGGCGGGGGGCCGGGCAGCACTGACCGGGTGAGAGCCGGCGAGAGGCAGAGACACCCGGGGGGATGAAGGGGAGACACGCAGGCCCCACAGCCCAGCGCAGACCACAGAGAACAGAGAAATAGGATCGGTCCCTTGCCGGGCTCCTCAGACCGCGTCCCACCATGCGACAGCCCGATCACCGCGCCAGGCCCCTGGCAGGGCATCCGCGCTCATGCACCTGGCGTTGCTGGAGCCGCTTCGTGTTCTGAGTCAGTGATGTGACCCTACGGGATCGTCGCGTGTCTAGGCCGGTCACGGAAACGCCGGCTAATCCGGGCTGATCTGCCGGGAGGTGGGTGCTCCCTGGTGGGAGCCGCAGCGCCCGGGGGCAGGGTAATTCTCTGCTCTTTTGCCAGAGCTGAGCCCTTGGCTGGCTGGGTGCCCCAGGACAATGTGAGGGGTTAACGGTGGCAGGAAGCCTGCGGTCGCCTCGGCGGCGGGGTTACATTGCAGGGTGGGTGTCTTGCATCGAGGCATTGCCTGGCCAGCCGCAGCTGCAGCCAGGTCTCCGGTGCGTTCCTCCAGAGAACGAGGCCCCCGGCACGACCTCCACACTGGACACAGATCCCAGGGCCCAGCCACCCGTGGACAAGTGGTCAGGATCCTCCCTCTCCCCATCCGCCCTAGGGAAACTGAGGCACAGAACAGGGCAGGGACTTGCCCGTGGTCACAGAGCAGAACTGAGACTAGAAGTCCCTGCCCTGCGTACCATGCCAGGCTGCCCCCGCCAGGGCCGTGCTGCACACGCAGACACGGCTCCCCCGGGAGACTCAAGGAAAAGGTTTCAGGAAGTGTCCAGTCACTTTACTCCTCCCGCAGTCCTGACCCCTTGGGGCTGGGACTGGCCCCCCCGGCAGGCAGCGCTTTAAATCCAAACCAAAGAGGAGACCTGGAGCAGCTTCCCTGCAGCCCGGACGGGCCCGTGGCCCCAGCAGCCGCCCCCAGCCCAACCACCCGCAGGGGAGCGGGTCCCAAAAGGAATCGGGAGGGGGGCATTACGGCTGCTAAGCCCCTTAGGGCGCTGATCTCACCAGCACCAACCCGGAGCGCTCGCTCCCTCCGATCGGCTCCACAGCTCTGTGCTGCCCCTGGCTCAGCCGGGTGGAGACGGCCAGACCGACAGCCCCGCCGCGCGCTGGCCCTGTAAGTCAGGAGAGAGCCAGCGCGGCTGGGCCCAGGCCCTGAGCAGCCAGTGACTTGGGAAGTCGTTGCCACGGAGGACTCTGTCTGCAGCCTCCCTGGGCTCGCGGCCAGGACGAGCGCTGTCAGGGACGGCTAAGGGCAGGGCGGAGCTGCATGGGGCCGGGGCAGGGCGTGTCCAAATGGTTCTGGATGGGACGCGTTAAGAAAACCGACCCGAATGGGAGCCTGATTGGCCTGCACTGTCCCTAGGCCATGTGACCCAGGATCAGCGCCCGCCCCTGCTGGGACGTCGCTAATCATCCAAGCTGTGCGCTGAGGGGGAGGCGCTCTGCCTCAGTTTCCCTGTCAGTACAATGGGAAGAACGATGGTCCTGCCCTGAGGTTGAATTTGCAAAGGGCCTTGCCAGGCACAGCTTCCCTGGGACTAGGAGGCAGCAGGTCTCCCAAGGAGAAAGGGGCAGGCGGCCTTGGTCCCCAAGCAGTGACACAGGGGAAAAGACTGGCCTTCAGCTCCGAGAGCCAATCCAAGGCCTCGTATCAGCCGGCCAAGGGCAAAAGGGGGGTTTTTAAGGGGCTTCTAGCTCTGTGAGCGCTGACATGCAGTTCATGTTCTGCCCAGGGGGTGGCGCTGACAGGCTGTCCTGGAGCTGCAGAAGTCCCCATGTCAAACCTGAGTAAAGTTCATTATCTCGTCCCCGCAGAGAAGAGCCCGGGGACCTGGGGGGGCTCGTCTCTCTCACCGACAGCCCTCGGTCCAATAAATGACAGAGCCCCGGGGGAGACGGGATCACAGGGGTCACCTAGTCTAACCCCTGCCGAGATGCAGGATTTATTGGGTCTAAGCCATCCAAGCCAGACAGCTTGTGAAGGAGCTTCCCCAAGCTCCACAGGCGTCTGTGCCACTGTCCGACTGCTCTTACAGTCGGGACATTTCCCCTGAGATTGAATCTAAATCTGCTGGGCTGTAGTTTGAACCCGTTGCCTCTTGTCCTGCCCTCTGTGGCAAGAGAGAACAACTTTTCTCCATCTTTTTGATGGCAGCCTTTCAAGTATTTGAAGGCAGATCTCATGTCCCCCCCCATTGTTTAACCAATTCTGTATGCGCTTAATGGTAGTTCCGCCAAGACTGCATTTCTCCAGCTTCCTTATCACAATGTCATGGGAGACTGTCAAAAGCCTTGCTGAAGTCCAGGTATATTATGTCCACTGCTTTCCCCCACCCACCTTGTCTCCCTCCCTTTGATGTTTTCCAGACCTTCCCTACCACCCACCCCACCCCGGGACATGTCACAGGGGGACACCCTCCCGCGCCCCCTGCCCTGGCACGTGGAACAGGGTCCTGAGGGAAACTGAGTCCCCATGATGGTCAGAAGGGGAAATACCTCTGTGACCCGCATATAACCCCACTCCGTGCCCCGATGCCCCCGTCCTAGGCTTTCACTCCTGGGGAATGCCAGTGCCTGGCTGGGGGAGCAGCTGGGATCTCGACTGTTAGCTCTTGGGGGGATAATCCATTAAAATCCCCTGGAAACCCCAGGAAGAACCAAGCCGGCTTTCTGAAGTGACCCAAGCCAGGTGCTGCCTTCCTGAGGAGCCCCATTCCTCAGACACACAACGGCCCCATTCTGCCCCCCCCCCCCAAAAAAATTGGCTGTTCTGCAAGGGAAACCAGTAACCAGTGCCCCCCAGCCCACACCTCGGTGTAGTGCCCTTAGACACTGGTACGGGTCAGGGCTGTCAGCCCCTGCCGGCTAGAGACTGTACCCCCCCCTCCCCGGAGGCATCGCCACTGAGCAGGGGCGGGGGGGAGAGCGGGGGAAGGAAACCTGACAAAATCCCAAACCCAGGCACCCTGTCTGCCCTGCTCTGCCTGCCCCACCTCCCCGCCCTTCCCACGCAGCACCTGAGATCCCGGCCCCCCAAACGCAGCGCTGGGCCCAGACCAGCGATTTCCATGTTCAGTGCCAGGAGGGAAGGAGTGACTTTGGTCTCCAGCCCCACGCCCCAGCCTCGGCCCTACGCCCCAGCCTCACGCCCCAGCT